ATTTTTTTAGGAAGTTTTATTAGAAATTAACCTAATCCTAATACCTATTTAATTTTGTAGGACTAAATAACTTATTCTAACTATTCCAAATATTTACAAAAAAAAAAGCACATATAATGATGATGATATAATGATGATAATAGTTATACATTATTTAATAATATTAATAAATAACTAAAAATTATATATAACTATAAATTATAATAAATAATAACAGTTGATCGCATCAAAAATGCCTAGTCATTGTCTCCAGTGAGCCGAGTGTATAGAAAGCCTCTTTCATTCATTTTATCTTTTTTGTTTTTTGCAGGTGTTTCAGAATCTTTTGACGTAGATATTGGAGCTACCGATAGACGTGGAAATGATATTGGATCTACCGATAAACGTGGAGATGTGCATGACGACAGCTATGATGCATCCTTTGATGACGGCCCCTGATCTAATTAATAAACACATTCATTATTTTGAAGAATTTAAACAAATTTGTGAAAACTCACCTGCAATACTTTCAAACACTAATTTTGTAGTGTTATGTATGGACAAATTGTCTAGAAATCTCTTTAATATATGGAAGTAGTTCTAGTCGAATGGCGCCCCTCCTGAAACTCCGACACACTATTGTTCTTTCCTGATTTAAAATAAACAAACAAGCAAATTGAAGTGATTAACAGCAACTTTATAAAAATAAATAAAAAAATTTACAAAATTACATTGAAATCTTTTTTTATTATATGAAAGTACGTAACATAATAAAAAACAAAACAGTTTCAATACACAAATTATTATTGAATTTTTAATTTCATTTATGAAATACTTTTCTTTACGTTTGTGTAAAGTTGTAGAGCTTTGTTTGCACTTCTAAGGAAGTGGCACGAAACCTCTATTGTGAAGATCGGGCGCCCCGTAATTGTGAAAGTCTTTCCTCCCATAATTTTACGCACTTTCCACCTACACGTTTCTGCGTCTCTTCATTTTAATGTTTAAAAATACTATTTGAATTAATTAAATCTAAAATCAATTATTTAAATATGTATTGCATATTTAAGTTATGAAAAAATTTTTTATTAAATCCTAGTACGTACTTCTTTTTGCTACTAACATGAAATAAACAAATTTCACGTAATAATATGTCATACTAAAAAATTAAATATATAATTGATATATTAAATTATTTATATACATTTTTTATAATTCAATGAATAAAAACAGATTTTATTTAATACTTACTATCTCAGTGTGCTTGTTTACAGGTCAGCTGTTGTTTGTTCACATTTTATATTTAAAATATATGACACATACTTCAAATTTTGGTCATTTCCTTTGTTGAAAATTTATTTTTAAGAGTTGCATTCGATATTTTTGGTCTAAAATGAACCGATTGATTGTAAATGGGCTCATTTATATGAAAGCTCTTGGTATGATAAATCATGCTCATTAGTGATTATAATGCGCAAAACTGCCTAATTTGGCGTTTCCACTGGCCGAAAATGGCTCATTTTGAATTAGCCATTTAAAAGTGGCTCATTTCTTTTCATTTCAAACAGCTGATTTTTCAACTTGCCTATTGATTTGATTTTTGGCCTGCACCAAAAAAATGTTGCATGAAGGTTAAATATGCCTTCAAACCTTAAAATATAGACTTAAAACATATTGTCAAAGACGGCTTTTATTTTGTATATTTACATTTTTACTTTGTAACGACACAGATTTTTCCGTTTCGTTATTTTCTTTGCCGGGGTAACCTCAGCCTCTTCTAGGAGTCGTTACAATAAATTTATATTTACAAGAACCGGACTTCTCAAATAAAAGATTGTGATTATAGTTTTCAGAACAATTTATTTATAAAAAAAAATCAATAATATATATAAAAAGAAAGAAATTAAATGCAATAATTATTATTAGTATGACTGGGATGGCACATCAATGGCAATTGATTCTTTGAAACTCTCAAGGGGATTACTTCCAATGACTACTTCGGTGATATTCCAAAAGGTCTTTTCTGGTCTTGTAGTTGGCTTCTATGTTCACCTGTTTGAAAAGAATATTAAGGAATATACGCTTTATTTATTTAATATATATATAATGGTATCTAAGCTCGCTGACTTAAAACCGCCTTACGCTCGTAAACTATTATATATAGACTTTGTACTAGGTTATACACATGACTTAACACCGCCTTTGTGTCAGATAATATTTTATTTTTTTATTTTATTAGTTGACATATAATGCCACTCAGTGATCATACAAGACTCACTCCCCTTACCAAAAATGCGTCGTCTTTTATACAGATCAGACGAGCTTTTTGTGTAGCGCACATACAATTGTTTTCTGCTGTTTTGTGGAGTTTTGTTTATTTTCCCGTTTGTATGTCTTGCTTTCATACTGTTCTTCAAGTTGTGCGCTCAACAGATCTTGTCTATCTCTTTGCGGCGAATTTCTATTGACGTTTCTGACGTTTGTTTATGTTTTGATTTTATAATTTTCGCAATTTTTCTCGTGGTGTTTCTTTTTGATATTTATAAAATTTGTGAATAATTTCTCATAATTAATAATTTAATAATAACAATTCGGATTAGAATGTGTGGCAGTACATTAGCAGGTATGTATTTATATTTTAACTGAATACTTTTATATTTAAATTTATCTTTCCTTAGTTCCACGCGTTGCAGTAGTGTGCAGTGTGGGCAGCTGTTGTTTGAGTTTTGTGCAAATGCAAATTAAAAGAAAGTATGTATCAGATTTCGAATAAAATACATTTTTTTTAATTTCATTCATATATTTCAGACTTCTACTTCTTTTTTTTTATTACAATTTGTTACAATTCATTTTGTACTACAATTCATTGGAATAAACAACGATGTGTGTATTTATGTAGGGCAAAATTTACTTATGTAAATTTAGTCCTTACAACTTTTAATTAGAGAAGAACACGCGTTGTTATGCTTTCTTAAAAACTCATTAGCACACTGAACTTATATGGCGTTTACATTGGCCGAAAATGGCTCATTTTGAATGAGCCATTTGAAAGTATTTACATTCGTTCTAATTCATTTGTTCTCATTTCAACAGCTGATTTTTCAACTTGCATGTTGATTTGATTTTTGGCCTGTGCCAAAAAAATGTTGCATGAAGGTTAAATATGCCTTCAAACCTTACATTAGAAACTTAAACTATATTTTTAACTTCGATTAATTACTTTTTGGGAAGTAAAAGTTCTAAAAAGCAGTGCATCGTTTTCAAGAAAATGCAACCACCACAAACATTTGTTTACCTTTTTTTGTAATATGTTAAAAACAGCTTTTTCAAACTGTCAAAATGCCATGAAGAGCTTTCATTTAGGGTATGTTCAATGATTCCTTTGCATTTGGAACGTATGTGGAATGCATTCGAACGTCATTCATACAGAATGTGAGAAAATTGCTCATTTTTGTGCTTGAAATTTTATATGCAAGAATGAGCCATTCGATACTCATTTTCGATTTTTGACCAAAATGAGCCATTTTCGGCCAATGTAAACGCCGTATTAGGTGCGACTCAACTGTCATGTTTGACATGTAAAGGTGTTTGGAAAAAATATAAACGTGTTCCGAACACATTCTACACGAATGTGTTCGGAAATCATTTTATTAAGGGTGACAATTCGGCCAATCCTGCTATAAATCGTCCGCGATTTCACAAGCATCAAGCTCCGGAGAATTGTAGCACCACGGTTTCATTCGGTCTGACGCGAACGTAGAATTGAATTTCCTTTTAGCCAATTGGATACCTGGGATATCTTCTATTTGGTATCGGTCATTTCCAAGTACATTGACTACGATATATGGACCTCGATATTTCGGCTCCAATTTTCGTGACTCGCCTGTGGCTGACGGTTCGTTTTCAAGCACTACGAGATCACCAACATTGTACAGGAAAGGTTCGGCATGCTTTTCGTCGAAACGGTGCTTCCACTTTTCACGCTCCTCAGCAATATTCCTGACGGCTAGGTTTCGTTTCTCGTTGATTGTAATGGTTGATAATGGGTTTTCCGCGTCGGCATGGACGGCAGCTAACAATCGATTTTGGAGGATATCGCGCAGCTGGAAGTCGAACACTAGTTCGTTTGGGCTGAAACCAGAAGTTGCGTTTTTTTGTGAGTTCACTGCCCATTGTGAATTCCGTAAATTCAGATCCCAATTGTTTGGACCTTTGTTCGATGTTCGCAGATATGATAGGATTATCTGGTTAGCTCTCTCAACTTGTCCATTATCTCGCGGCGTTCGTACAGCTGTTTTGACATGTTGAATATTATTGTTGTCACAATACTCCTCAAATTGAGTGGATGTAAACGATGTACCCCTATCAGTAACAATCTTTGCAGGTAACCCGAAATAGCTGGACATCTCGTTTAAAACGGCGATTACAGGAGTTGTTTTTGTATTATGTACAGCTTTCACAATCAGAAATTTCGAGAAAGCATCTGAAATAGCCAAAACGTAGCTATTACCTCTTTTACTTTTAATGAAAGATCCGAGGTGATCGATGTGAATCAAACGGAAAGGTATCGGTTCAACGTCGTCATAGTGCAGAGTACCCTCGCGTTTACTTCCTCGTGATCCATCTTACAGCTTTTGGTGCAACAAATTGTAGACCTTCAGCGGTACGTCGATATAAGCGATGAAGTGAACATGAGCACTTCATGTTCAGCATTACTGTCGTACAGAGCTAGAACCGGACCGCTACATAGCATATTTATAAGTTTGTCAAATGCATTTTTCTACTCAACACCCCCTACGAACTCTTGTTCTGATTTTCGTAGCAACATCGCGATTGGTTTTGAGATGATTGAGTAATCCTGAACAAATTTGCGGAAAAATCCAGTCAAACCCAAGAAGCCTCGTACTTCTGTTACGTTGGTTGGCTGTTTAAAATTTTTAATTGCAGCTACTTTTTGATTACCTGGTGCTATTCCATTTTGATCAATAACGTGCCCTAGGTGTATTAGTTCCGTTTTAAGAAATTTACATTTGGACATCCTTAGCGTCAAATTGCTCTTTTAACAAACAGAGAAATTTTTCTAACCGTTCTATACCTTCTTCTATACTTTTACTGGGTATAATAACATCATCGAGATAAATTAGAACTTCACCACGGCCCATCGACGACGCAATCTTATCCATTGTCGCTTGAAAAACTCCAGGGGCGTTAACCATTCCAAATGGCATTCTGTTGTATTCGAAATGACCATCCGTAGTAACGAAAGCTGTATATTGTTTTGAGGACTCTTCAATTTCTATTTGGTGATATCCCATGCGAAGGTCAAGTGTCGTAAAGAATCTGTTACCTGAGAGCTGAGCAAACTGCTCCTCCATATTTGGCATAGGGTAAGGATTTTTAATAATGATTTTGTTTAATGCACGATAATCTACGCAGAGTCGATGCTCACCATTTTTCTTTTCTACCAGAACCACGGATGAGGCATACGGTGATGACGAAGGGCGTATGATGTCATTTTTAAGCAAATCAAGACCAATGTCCGAAACGATTTTGCGTTTGGCAAATGCTATCCGATATGGTTTTTCCCGAATAGGTACGTCAGTGCTGACTTTAAAACTCATTTTGTTGATAACACATTTGCCTAGTTCAGACATACTTTCTGCAAAAACGCCACGGTACGTTGAGAGTAGACCTTTAAGTTGTTTGCGTACATCCGACGGTATTTCTACCGATGTTTGCAGATCTTCTATATGGCATTTGTCTCCCTCTATGATAAGACGTTTACCTTCACGGCACAATACATCACGACCCAGCAAAATATTTTCGGATGTTTTTCCGTCATCCACGATCAACAAATCGGTTATAAATTCGTTATTATCAAAATCTACGACAGCATTTATTTTAGAGGTGCAGATAAATTTTCCATCGGCGAAACCACTCAAAGTTACAGAACAACGCAATATTTCATTTTTAAAATCTTTTGCAAATGTCTCACGAATTAGAGTGTATGCACTACCAGGATCTATAAATGATCGCGTCGGTTTTTGATTTACTTTTACAACTTTCGTCACGAGCTCATTTCTTTTTTTCGCAAGTACTTTCAATTTTGTTAACCGTTTGTTTATTCTCGGCATTGTTTTTCTTACTAGGACAATCGGTCTCCTTATGCGTAGTGCGATTGCATATTGAACAACGCTCTTTACGTTGTGGTTCAGGACACTTGTTTGAATAATGGCCTATTCTAGAGCAATTGAAACATTTGACTTTTCTAGTCGTCTCGCTTTCCTTATTTTGGAGTGTTTGTATCTTAGAATTGTCTCTAAGATCGTGATTAGTATTTACCGGGTATTTAGGTTTTGGTTTTTCGTTAAAGTTTTGAACATCATTATATACAGTATAAATATTTATATCACGTAAGAGTTCATTACAGAGAGTGTATTCATTCGAGATTTTCTGCTTTAAGCGTGGCTCATTGATGCCATTAATTATATACCGAGCAATTGCATTTTCGGGTACGTTTCCACGAGTACCTATAGATATCATTTTGTAGTAATATTCTTGCGGACTTTCATTAAATTGTCTCTTCGTTTGGGACATTTTGAAGTATACGTCTGCTATGTTTTCTGTAGAAGCAAAGTCTTTCAAAAATTTTGTAGCAAATTCCGTCCAAGAAAGAAACACGTCTTGTGAATTAACCCAATATTTTGTGTATCCTTGCAACTTTTGTTGCACTGCAAATACTAATGTTTGATCGTCCCAACGATATGTAGTTCGTAACATATCGTTCCGTTTTATGAACTGATTTGGCATAAGAGATTTGTCGCTTGACGGATTGAACTCAGGTAAAAGGGTTACAATCTCTCTAACGTTTCCATAAGGATTTTGCGCGTATGGTGGGTAATATGCAATATGACCTCCGTTCATATGTTCATGCCGCATATTACCTATATAACTCGTGCTTGGAACACTACCAACTGGCATGCACCCCAATGCTGCATACTGTGGTTTATATTATGCGCATTAACCGGAAATGTATTCATTCCCGACGATATTGGCATAAAATTATTTACAGACGTTGACATTATTGGCCTTTGCTCCTGCATATTGACATTAGGAATCGGCACTCCCATTGTCGTGACGTTGCTTACATTCAATTCTGCCTTAGATTTATTTTCATTCATATACACTGGAGAAGATATACTTTGTGGCTGGAAATTCTGCTGACTCGTTTGCAGTTCACGTAACGTTTTTTCCAAGAAATTAACTCTCTCCTTCATTGTATCATTGTGTGTTTGGAAAAAACATAAACATGTTCCGAACACATTCTACACGAATGTGTTCGGAAATCGTTTTATTAAGGGTGACAATATTATTAACTACGGTTAATTACTTTTTGGGAAGTAGAAGTTCTAATAAGAGGTGCATCGTTTTCAAGAAAGAAGAATGTGTTCCTTTGCATTTGGAACTTTTTTGGAATGCATTCGAACGTCGTTGGGACGGTATTGACACTGGCCTCAAATGGTTCATTTTGGTCAAAAATCGAAAATGAAAAGAGAATGGTTTATTCTTGCATACAAAATTTTGCTGGTGGATTTATAATAAATCCACCCAACCTCATGCAACAATGTTTGATCGAATCACAACTGGTATGATGTTCAGTTCATACTCATTGCAACCCACAATTGTTTTTGCACGCATGTTTCTTTTGGATTTTTGGTTTTATTTGTATATTTCATTAATATACGAAGTGAATATTAAAAAAATCCCTGAAACAATTTTAGCACATACATCTTCTTATCTTCTTAAAGAAAATAATAATAATAGAAAATATTATTTTTTTATTGCAAAATGCACAACAAAAATCACTATGTATGTGCAAATGTGATATTGGAGAAATTAAGTCTGCAGTATATGAATATGTATGTTTTTATTGCACATTTGTGCATATATTTTACCTCAAAAGGAACTACTTCCTAATAGTTTGAATTTTTGGTGACTTTTTGTAATTATTTAAAAAAAATTATTTTAAATAAGACGTGTCTTGTGAAGTCTGTTACAATTCTTAAAACCAAAAAAATATTGAAAGTTTATATAAACATTATACAGTTTTTTGGCATCCATATACATTTATATTAGACATTTAAAATTTATTCATACTTAGTTTGATTTGTTCAAAAAGTCATCTCATCTGCTGGGTCATTCCCTTCAATATTGCTATGTCCAAGTATTCGAAATGTACTATGTCCAACAAAAAGAAACCTTATGATGTTTGATGCTCATCAGTGAATAGCGACATTTTAATACTATCTTGGAATTTAGATTCAATTGCTTTCAGTGCGGCCTATCTGCAAAAATCGTGATATTCGAAGGACGACCTCTTTTTCGATAGCATATATCTCGTTGTGAAGGACGCTGTAAGTAGCAGGGATTCGGTAGCACTGTCTTATCTGCATATCTTTCGAGAAGATACCTGCTCACGTACCGCCTTCCATCTTTAAGCCATCTGCGTAGATAGTAACTGTAGAGTTACCGGTCACAGATCCAATCTCCGAGCTATCTCTGGTTAGATAAAGAGTGGGAACCCACTA